AGGAGCAAACCCGTGGCATCATTATCAGTTGTGAAAGAAAAATATCGATCCTGGCTTTCGCTGACGACATTGTTCTACTTGGTGAAGATGAGAGGGAGGCACAACAAGAATTAATATACTCCATTAATATCTGAAGAGCCTGGGGATGAACATATCTGGTGAGAAGAGCCAAACGTTCCAGATGGTCGCCAAAAAGGACACATGATTCATAAAAGAACCGCGAATTAGGCTCGAAAATGTCAACATACCAACGGTTGACCCAGATGAGGCCTTCAGGTATTTAGGCGCCAAAATGGGGCCTTGGAACGGTATCCATTATGGCATCATAGTACTAGAAATTCTGAGCATGGTCAGAAGAGTTAGAAAATTCTCTCTGAAGCCATGCTAGAAAATTGAGTTAATTACGAAGTATACCTTCCATCGATATATTTACCATTTCCTTATAAATCTACCAAGTGACAATGTCTTAAAATTATTAGACAGCGAAGTCAGGCAGGATATAAAGGTCATATTACATCTTGTGCATTGGACAGCCACTGGTTTCTTTTATGCTCCAAAAGCAAAAGGGGGATTAGGGCTACCGAGACTTGAACATATTATCAAACTTGGTACCGTAAAAAGCGCATTAAACAATAAGAATTCAGCCGATCCAGCGGTATCTAGCTTGATCAATGGAGAAAACGACAGCAAGCTAAAGAAAATCGCAAACTCTCTAAGGATCAATTGACCGGCCACTTCCGAAGAGGTAGAAAAAGCTAGAAAGCGACTAAAGAGCGGACATATTAAACAATGGCAAGAGTTGAGAAGTCAGGGACATGGAGTAAATGACTTCTCAAAGAGTAAAACTGGCAACGTGTGGCTCGAGGAGTATAATCTGTTCAAGCCCTCGAGATTCATCGATGGCGTAAGACTTAGGACAAACACTTTTGGGACACGGACTGTATTGGCACGGACCGACAAAAGAATTTATGTAACCTCAAGTGAGCGCCTCGACTTGGGCGCCTATGAAATCTTCCTCCACGAAAAAAAGAGAAAAAAAGATTAATAACTCTAGGACTAATTATGTAAATACCCTATATACAGCATAACAGTTCAATGCTAATATAAACTATAAGTATTAATTAATTGATTATTATTATTATTATCAATATTAATACAGATTATTACTACAGTTTAATAGCATAATTGTGAATGTCTCTAAAAATATAATATCCATATTACGTTGTTTTGACATTAAAATTTAGTATTTATCTTACATTGTATTTTGCGTGTTAAAGATATGTATAAAACAATTGATTTTTATAACAGTTTGCATAATGTACATATAATATTAAATACATTAATTAAACACAGATATATCAATTTTCTCTAAGTAAGTGCATATTTATCAAATTTATCCTGCATGCACTTTATATATGTCGGAAATGAAAGGACACCGGGACCTTGCTTTGGAATTCTTCGGAAAACCCCCAATATTTTGCCACTATAACTTAACTGGATTATAATTGTTTGAGATTTGTGATAAGGAGCTTGGGCTCGAGGCGACAATCAGTTACCGAACGTAGCCGCGGTCACGGGATGAACACTTTGTCTAACAAAGATATGGAGTAATTCTATAGCTCTCCTCAAAAGAAATATTTGTGGCGGCACGCGACAGTAAACATTCCAACGGTTTCTGTTCCGTGGCTCGTTACACGCAGATCCTATTCTTGGAGTAAGATGATTGCCAGATGTCGATGCGTCTCCGCAGTGGGTGTTCAGCTAGCCCAAGTGCCGTTATAAATACTAAGATCTAGTTACCTAAAGTCCTTCAAACAGACAAACAGTCTTTGTCCCAACTACGGGAAGATAGGCGAGATCTATTTTTTCAACGAACGACGTCTCCCAATAGCAACTTTCCCTCGAGGGCGGCTAACATCTTTTTCTAACCACCGATATGGAGATTGACCAATTAGCAGCAATGTCAATTTCCCTTACTCGGAAAGTCATTCTCTCTTGTGATCTCATCGACGAAAAGAGTAACGCCTTATGATCAGTGAATTTTACGCGTTTTATTAACAAAGAGTCCGACTTAGATTTTGTGAGCACGTATATCTATCATTCCGTTGACCGCGGATTCGTTATCGAACCTAAGGCCATTGTCACTAGTGTCGCGAGCACCTAATCACCGTGGTTGATTGTCAAATCCGTGGTATCCATACTTGTGTTAATAAACCGTACCTTTGTTATACAATAACGATGGCTAATTCCAATGAAGATTTATCAAACACCCTCAACCCTATCCACAATGCCACCCCGACATATATATGTATGTCGGGTTTACATTAGAATTAGTGTTAGGGGCGTGAAGCGAATCTTCGTTTGGATTACACGTCGTCGTTATGCAGTAGAGAAGACATTGGCTAGTGCAAATACGATTACCATAGAACCGGACAAGTAACCGTGGTAATTAGATACTCGAGAGACTAATGACAATGATCCTAGGTTCAATAACGAATCCGCGGTCGACGGGATGATAGATGAACGTGCTTACAAAATCTAAGTCGGACGCGTAATATTTACTGGTCGTAAGGTGTTAAGATTTATAACGGGCCCTCAGGCTAGCTGAACATGTACTGCGGATGACGCATCGACATCTGGCAATCATCTTACTCGAGGAATAGGGTCTGCGTGTAGCGAGCCACGGGACAGAAACCGTTCGAATGTTTACTGTCGCGTGCCGCTACAAATATTTCTTTTAAGGAGAGTTATAGAATTACTCCATTACCTTCGTTAGACGAAGCGTTCATCCCGTGACCGCAGCTACGTTCGGCGACTGGCTGTCGCCTCGAGCCCAAGCTCATTATCACAACTCTCGAACAATTACAATCGGATTGAATAACTACAATTGTTTAATTATAGCTATAGTAGAGTCCAGATTACAATGTTGCGGGATTATCCAAAATTCCAAAGGCTCCGGTGTTCTTTCATCTCCGACATACATATAATAAATAAATAAGCAATATATAAAACGTAAATAGAGCAAAGATATAGTGTCCTCTACATAGAAAACTAACTCGATACCTATTTACAGGCATCAAGAGCTCCTTTGCATGATACAAGGCCATCATCGATTTATCATTATCTCTAAAAGTAAGTACCTCATATATACATACTGCATAAAGTATAATAATTCATTGTCATTATATAATAAATAGGCAAATCAAAATAATACTAACTCGTCTTACATATCAACTAACGATGATCCATTATTATAATAGAAATAGATATCATAATGGGGCGCATACAGTTGGGTAGAATGACGGCAAGCCGTTTAATTACAACTGTAGGTTTTAATTGCAATGTTTTTATGGATTTTCCCGAGGTTTCAGAGGGAAGGCACCGGTGTCCTCTTATCTCCGACATGTATATCTTGCAAAGCACCGTGCATATTTACTGTATATTGTAATGCATAAACTTCTACAGCCTAACAAGGAGAGGACACAGTTGTTTGGACATCGGTTCTTACAAAAATTTTGCTTATAAATCTAGGACAAAAATAAACCGATCCATATTCTGATGTTTTAGTCAATACCCATTATTTGGGAAGGTATTAAATATAATTAGTCCATATTGTGGAAACAATAAGTTCTATGGAGGAATTGTGGACTTGATTTATTAAACGTTATTATTCGTGTCGTAACCGTCGAATATATTAAAAATGATAAATTAGAGTACAGATAATGTTCGCTGAGATGCTCGTACAGAGTATAAATCGCAAAGTAAAATTGCTAATTAATACTCAGTAAATACTCGCTAGATAATCGTCGATAACTCGGTAGATAGCTCATCAATACAGAAAGATACTAGATACTCGTAATCACTCAAGAATACTCGTAAAATACTGAACTCTTTTCTGAAATTCGAATTCGTCTTCGTTCGATGATTGCACCTAGCGGCGACATTGTTTTGCCCGGAGTTTATTTGTCGTTACGTTTCGTGCGTCAAGGCGGTGTCAATGTCCCGAGGGAAAACAACAACATGAGTTGCTCTCGATTCGCATCGTGTTCTAACTTATGTGACGCTACAGTTCTTATTAGTTCTCGATTCATGGGGTGGGCAAACAGATGCTGCTTACTTTAATAGTACTCTTACAAATGACGATGAAAATTTTATGTAAATATCAGAAATTATTCCGTTACATTGTGGTTCCTATTACTATCTCTGACATTTACTTTTTCCACCAAGTACACTTTCTGTGAACAGATTATAAAATTCGCAATCTATACATATCAAGAAAATTCCCGGAAGATTAGTTAATTAAACAAATGTTACCGTTAATTTTTTATTATTTTATTAAATACTATGAATATTCATACATTTAATTGTTAATTTTCCTATTAATCCAAGATAGGATGCAGCAGTTTACTATAGTATTAGTATGTAGCGACACATGAGTCATAGGACAAATTGAACCGGGAGCGACTCATATTGTTGTACCTGGAAGTATTAACGCTGTTTTGCATTTGCGAAGTTCTAGAATAAACGAACTCCAGACAAAAACAGTATCGTCGTTATGAGTAATCGTCAACCGGAATCAAATATGACCTTCTATAAGTCCGCCGGACAATATAAACAGACGGGCATTCTCTCTAGGATAGACTAGAAAACGAACCAGTATAGTGAAGAATATAGCTAATTATCACGACGAGTCATACGAACGACAGTTACAACCGACCTACACTATCTCTGTACTTGTACTTGAAGTAATTTCAATATAATTGACTGTTACATTTCCACTCGTCTCTTTAATAACTAACACGTTTAATATCACCTCAAGTATAAGAAAAAGTAAATATAGTTTTGTTAATATTTCGAAATTTTTTATTTCTATTGTATCCTCTTATCATTATTGTATGAAAATCATAAGTATCACAATGGAAATTTTCAAGTTAACCATGGCCGAGGAAAGCATCGCAGTGAGATCAAACGTTCAAGTCCTTCTCACAGCTTCTTTTTCGATTACCGTGGTATTGTGTTTCATAAATTTTTATCACAATATGTTACGATCCATAGAGAATACTATTTGAGCGTTTCGCGCCAATTGTACGAAGCAATTCGAAGGATTTGTGAAACGATCACTCGTAGAAATTGTACTACTATAACACATCAGCTCATGTATCACTACTGACTCGGGAGTTTCTCGCCAAAATAACATTTACAGTCACCATATTGACCTGATCGGTCCCTTGCGATTATTTGTTATTCTCCAAAATGACAAAATAAAACAAAAGTCGTTATGCGAGTTATGCACTATAGAAGAAAGTGCTTTTAGAAATGTGTTCATGACTGAAAGACACGCTGGCAAAAATATACTGTATTCTGTTGAGGTTGACTGATAGAAGAACGAGTGGATGAATTTGCAATAGAAAAATATATTGAAATAAATAAAGGTATAAGTATAATGTTTAAGTTTATGCTGATTCAGATCCTTACTTTCTTAATGTTACAATACAATAGAATCGATAGGGAGCACGTTCATTTATAGCAAAAGGACATTACCAAGAAAATTAACCTTATAGTTTTAGCGAAAGGCTACAAGGAACATAAATAGAAATCTATTTATTAGTTCCTTTGTTCCAAAACCTTATAACCCAAAACAAATGTATATTCAAGGGTACAACAATATGGACCTCTCCTTATTTAGAATAATTTTTGTTGAAGTTGTCACCACTTCTAAGAAAACTCTATATCTGATCTTTTTAGTTTTCTCATGCACTGAAGCCATCGACAGCGTATAGACAAAAGAATGGGACGAAGGTAGACCATAAACAGCTGACAGGCGATGATGGCTTCGGGGTTTTCAGTTATAGGGTAACATTGCTAGCGTGCGGATGTGGACCAGCTCAAACTATATTCCCACTTGTACTTACACACTTCTGTATTAAAATATATTTTCTACCTTATAATTTATCCTCGCGTTTCTCTGTTTATACATCTAGTAACCTCAACAATTTTGTTTCATTAAATTCTATTTTCTGCGTAATGGAGGTCTCTAGGTCACGAATATACATAAATAAAGATGTAGAGTTTTTTTTGAAGTAATTACTTCAACATATTCAAAGGGAATAACTTAAATATAGATGAACAAATAAATATTTTCTTAAATGAGGAAACAATTCAACGATATTTTTGATCGTGTGAGGGGAGGGGCGGGAGAAAAAGAGGAAAGTAAAAAATGATATGCAGGTTGGTAAAGGTTCAGAAGAAAAGTCTGGGATAAAATGTAATGATTAAGAAAAATGTGGGACATGAAACATGTTATATAAAATATACTTTATATATTCTAATTTGGCTCATATATGTGATATAAAAAATGTATATTACAAACCATTTAGTAGAATATAAGTACTAATGTTTAATCTGAGTTTCTGTAATTTTGATAGTTTTGTTTTATTTTTTTATTTTTATATTTTTATATTTTCTATAGTTTTGTACTTTTGTATTTTTAAACGTTTTCTATAATTCTATATTCAAGTAATAGTATAAAAAGAAGAATACAAAGAGTATGGAATGGCAACGCATGTAACGGTACGTGAATGTTACGCATGCGCAAATAACCAGGAGAGGATGTATAGGAATCGAGGGTTCGTTGGACAAAGAAAACGTTTTTTAGGAATACGTTATGTTTATGTCAACTATATACCAAATAATTAAAGAAAAATAAATAACATCGGACAACTAATTAGTTATCCGAAGAGGAAAAGGAAAACATTTGCTAAATGAAATGGCGCGATCAACCTCCGAAAGCAAGATTGCGATGGTTGGCGTTAAAAGTTGGGTTGCACACAAACAATTTCAAATTGGAGTTCAACCGCTAACCGCGACAAGGCCACCGTGATCTTTACTCTTTTCCATACGCAGGCGGCACGTTATAAATAGAGATCTCACTCCGTTGGTCCGATGTTTTTAATTATACTTTTAATACAGGGCTTATCGGATCAAGCAGGATCATGGTTATTTGTAAACATTCATTGGCAAAGGCACGCATTACATCATTTAAATCCGCCATAATAAAAAGGAAACATATGATTACATGCATCTTGTAATAAAGATAATAAAAAGAGACTCACCATACCAACATAAGAGAAGATTTATAATGATTTACTTGACAGGAGAATAGGTTTAGTTGAATAACACGAAATCCGTACATAGGTTTCTGGAGATCCAAAGACTTTGAGCACCCTAAGAAATTAAGGGAAGTTAGATAAATGGAAAAATTAAAATTGAAACATGATTATTTAATAAGAGTACCGTATTGAATTATATATTTAATGCATGCAATTAAGTTAAAATGTTACAATATTTTGTCATTATTTGTTCGAATTTCATCAAATGCTTTTAAATAAGAAAATTTTGATAAAAACAAATAACTTACAGCATTAAAATAAAAAATTGTATTATCTTTATACCGTAATTTATTGATAAATTATAAATGTATTTATAGCTATAACATTCAGAATATTCTCAGGATATGTCTTGTTTCACTTGCTAAAATTTTTTGGCGGAATGTTATCTAACATACATGATTAAAGCACACTCTTCTGTTAATCATTGATCAATTAAATTGGTCTTGTTCTTAAAATCTTAACGAATTCCATAATCAATGTTTCAGAATATACAGAAAAAAATAATTTTAAAGCGATCTGATCTGCATAAAAAGAGAACATTCTCAAGTTTAACAATGCAATGTTGCAATATTTTTACATTTATAAAAGAAATGTTGACATCTTTAAACAAAATAATCCAGCAGCGCTTCACATAGTTTGGATTATTAAAATATAATTTCACTTGATACAATTTTTGGCGGATCAAAAATTTTTACCATTAATGAAGATGTAGATTATTGTACATTTGATAATAGTAATAATTGTACAAATAAGTTATGACAAAAAGTAGAAGAGCAAATAAAGGTTTAATACTTCAATGCTTGCTTATCATCTATTAATGTTAATACAAATAAAGATAGGTTTTAACGTATATTAACACATTGAAAAATTGTTTGTATATATAAGTAACTATGTGCTTCAAAATCTCACCAATATTAGTGGTTTCCTGTCTGTTATTTCATATCTAATACAATTGTATATCTATACTCACAATTTAATTTACGAAATGTAACAGTGATATATGAGCAATATGGATATCATTAACTACTGCTGGAATACATTTGAAACAATCTTGGCAGTTCAATCTTCTGATTCCATAAGAATCTATACATACGTCTATACACGGGTGCTACCTTTATTTATTCTGCAACATAAACAAATTGATATTGTAATTTTACCATAGAACTTTACAAGACTATGATATAAAGAGAGCATATAAACATATATATACAGGGTGGTTGGTAACTGGCGGTACAAGCGGAAAAGGGGTGCTTCTACACGAAAAAAGAAGTCGAAAATATAGAATAAAAATTTTTCCTTAAAATATAAAAATATAAAAAATTTAATATAAAATATAAAAATATTTGCAAATATATACAATTTTTATATACATCTGAAATCTAGCCCATACCGCTTTATGACTTTAAGCACTGTTTGAACGTATTTCCTGCTAATATAATATTTACACTGGGATGTCTCTTTATTTTTTTATAGACAAGAAATTTTGTTCTTGTTATATAATATGACGAAGTGTGGTAAAAGGTACTACGATAATATGGCAAATTTGTAAGTTTTAATTAAAATAATAGGAATAAGAAAATATTTTACAATTAAAAATGAACCTTTGAAACCTATTATCTTGTGTCAATAAGGATAGAAATTAAATAAATTTCGTATATCGCATCGCAAACTGAACTATGAAAATTGCAGTTATCGTTAATGTTATCGATCCTCACGTAGGCCCATACTAATAATCACAAATAGGTATTTTATTACTTAATTTTCTTCGGTTTTGTACATATTCCTTAGTAGTCGTGTATTAGTATTAGATAAAGAAGTACGAACCTACCTACACAGTTAATAAAGATACAATTGAATTAAGAACATAAATTCTGTATTTTTGAATACATATTACACATTTATTTCCCTTATCTACGATCTTGATCTACGTCTAGACCGTCTGGATCTACGATCTTATTTATTTATCTATTATACATATGGTTCGATATATTTGGTATACAACAACAATATAGGTTAAATTACATAAAACATATCTGTTTCATATTAGAATAACTTAAGCAAAATCTTTGGTTATATAAGCATATATAAAATATTTACCTTAAATAAATCAATGGTTGGTCAAGTGTTACATCTTTTATATTAGTATATTCTCTTCTATCAAAATTTAACAGATTAACTTTATAATTCTTTGTTTAGCATTCATTATCAACTGATATATATATCCATATCGTAGGCATCCTTCAACCTGACGCACATGTGACCATGTGCGAATCCACAAAACGACTGTGTGGTGCCTCGTGTCGGTCAACCACTATTACTTAGAATTGCTTACAGTACTGCTCCTTGATTGGCTACAATTCAGCAGTATAACATGGTACCTGCGCACATCCTTGCGCAAATATTTAAGAATATAAACGTATAATATTTGTACTTTAAGATTGATTAAATAGATATGTAAGTACAATTTTAACAAGTCGTCTTAACAAGATCTTTATGCGCACATCATACATTAAACATGATACATGTAAAGTATGTATAACATTTAAGATACATGTATCTATGAATGTATAGTGAAAAACAGAAGTGTTCGTGCAGTTGGAATGTAGAAATAACAGAAGCAATATTCCCTACATTATTTAAATACATGTCGGAGATAAGAGGACACCGGTGCCTTCTCTCTGAAACCTCGGG